AAATAAGTAAGTAAATACTGCACAACAAGGACAGACATGAATACTTATTTTACATAAATAAGTACAAACGACAAACTCATCGCCAGCCAGCAATTTCTTCCAGGCAAACTAGCATAACATGAAAAATAGAACAATAAATAGTCGTTTGTGCGTACAACTAGACAAATAATAATAATTTAAAAAGATCAAAAACAAAACAAGGACCCTTTAAAGGTACTAATAAAATGCTCAGACACAAGCGACAACCAGAGCGCGAGAAACGAGAAAAAAATAGAAAATTAACATTCATAAGGACCGTTTACAGGATGGGTGACCAAAACATTATTATCTTGAGCACTGGCATAATGCACGTTAAGCCGTTAGATCCGCATTAAGCCTGCGTAGTGGGTTATGGCCCATTGATCTTATTCGATTCGTCTGCATTCATAGGAAAAAAAGAATTCTACCAAACTAATTCCCACGCAGACGAAGTTGCGGTCACAGCTAGTACTATAATAAAAACGTAACCAAACGTAAACGATCGATGTCTGTACATTGAAGATATATGAAAAAAACTGTTATGAGGGACATTTATAAGCGTAATGGAACACAAAACAATGATTTTTAAATTTTTTGTCTGTTTGTCGGTTTGTCTGTGCGTTTGTGCACGATAATCTCAGAAAAAGCTGAACCGATTTAAATGCAGTTTTCACTATTATATTGCGGTACTCTTCCGTTAACATTTAGTGTAAGATTTATTTTAATCGGTTCACAAATAAAAAAGTTATGTCAATTTGAAGTGACGTGATTGCTAAAATTGCTATGAAATATTAACTGTTTTATTAAATTTTCGTCTTTGATATATTGATCGTCATTATTTACTCTTTCTAAGCCAAGCCACAGGGCTTCAGGCCTTTGTTTAATAATTTTTGATCACCCATCCTGTGAACAACTCTTGCAAAAATTGCTTAAAAATAGCGATCGTGCGCAGCGGCGCTTATCTGTCGCGCCACCGAGCTACGAATTAATATTGTCTATATAATGATAATTTGCATGATGACAAATAAAAAAAATAAGATTCTACAATTTTGAATACTCCAAAGTAAGTTGACCTATTTTGTATATGGCCAATCGTATTAAATAGGGTTCAGCTTATAATGGACGTGTGGTATACGATCACGCGAGTAGAAGAACAAGGGAAAAGAGCCTTCCGATGATGCAATTAAGCATCGAGTAGTTTACAGTGAACGCATATTTTTATCAGATTAGGTTCACGTCGTCGTCGGGACCAGCGGAGGTGGTTGGCAGCCGCCCCCGCATTGCACGGTTTCGTCTGTCTGGGAGGGGCACTCGATTTACCCGAGCCTCTCCAATTTTCCATCTGCAAGGGGACCGATGGTCCAATACTTGAGTGTTCTGGTGAGGCGGCTATAACTTGTCGGGTTACATCTCCCATGAGACGGTGTAGCGTACGGGTTTTGGTGGGTAGGCCTCTGGGGACCCACTGGGCAGCTCACTGTCGGGTTCACGGAGGAGAATCCTACTCACCACCTATTGCTTGCCACGTAGCAGAGACAATGTCAGAAGCTTTTCCACGACGTTAAAAAAGTTAGTTAGATTCACGTCAACTGAAGTTAAAAACGTAAAGACAACTCGATTTATATATCTTTTTCTCTTATTACTATTTTTTATGTTAATACTATTTTTGTTTTTTTTTTTAACATACAAATTTGCTGTAATTTTACGCGAGTCTGAGGATCGGTTCAGAGTAGCTCAGTGGCGTAGTGAATAAACGCCATGGCTCGCGATTGTAGTGTTAAGCAACTTTCGCAAAGGTCGGTCACAGGGTGGGTGACCAAAAAATATTATCTCAAGCAACTCCAAGCTTTGTAAGGCACGTAAAGCGATTGGTCCCGGTTGTATATACAGTCGTTAATATCCTCTAATTCGTTCCTGCAGTTGGTGACGTTAAAGCGATGATGATGATGATGAGGGCCGTTCAAATCTGACGGAAGCTCAGTTAAGCACCACAGTTGAGTGTGGAAAGTCGAAATTAAAATATGTATATATTTTTTTATATCAATAAATAAAACTCCACAAAGAAAGAGGTCAGAAAGAAAGCGCTCGGTCTTGGGAGACCTGAAAAACGTGAAAGGTATTTAACTACCCATCGCCAGGTTCATGCACTATAAAGTTGAATCTGAGGCATTTACCATCAGGGACAATCTCTTGAGCTCTCGGAGAACACTTTCAACAAGCGTATGATCTTACGAAACTTCTGAAGATCGCATAGCGTAGTATGGTATGAATATGAAACTTCCTTTGATAGAGAAATGCCCTTGGTCTCTGAAGGAGCTCGCAGATTGCACAATAGAGATCGAGAAAGTAGTTTCGATTATCGCCAACCCGTGTTGCCTTCATACTCCACAGGCGTACCGCAGATAAGTTTTCACAAGGTATAATGAACTAGCTGTTTTCCCGCGACTTTGCCGCAAAATTATAGCCTATGACATCCGTGAACAAACAACCAAATCTTTCCTGTTTATAATATTAGTATATCTTAGGTATAAGAGGTCCGATGGCTTAGTGGGTTAGCGCATACGGTTTAAATTGCAGTGAATAAATAAGTAAAATACTGCACAACAAGGACATACATGAATACTTATTTTACATAACTAAGTACAAACGACAAACTCATCGCTAGCAAGCGATTTCTTCCAAGCAACCTAGCATTACATAGAAAATAGAACAATAAATAGATGATTGTGCATACACCAATAATTTTAAAAAATCAAAATCAAAAGAAGGACAGTTTACATTACAGTATGCGTTTACAGAATAAAATTCTCAGACACAAGCGACAACCAGAGCGCGAGAAACGAGAAAAAAGATAGAAAAATAACATTCGTAAAGACCGTTCACAGGATGGGTGACCAAAACATTATTATCTTGAGCACTGTGCACACCACTGGCACAATGCACGTAGAGCCTTTAGTCCTGGCTGCATCAGCAACGTTAACACCCGCCGCTTCGCATTAAGATCGCATAGTGGGTTATGGCCCATTGATCTTATTCGATTCGACTGCATTCACAGGAATAAATGAATTCTACCAAAATACTTCCCACGTAGACGAAGTTGCGGGCACAGCTAGTTTACTAATAAATATTTTACATAACTACGTAAAAAAACATAAACTTATCTCGAGTCAGCGACTTCGTCCAGGCCATCTAGCATTGGATGAATGATCTTGAACTCCTCCGTGCTTCGGAATTCAAGTTAAGCCGTTGTTCTCGGCAGTATCAGCAGTCGTTCATACCCACCAATTCGCAATGGGCCCTCGTAATGAGGTAAGGACTATTAACCCTATTTCAATTCGATTCCATCCATAGCAGAGAAATAATTCTCCTAATATACTATCCCACGCAGACGAGCACAGCTAAAATTGAATAATTAATTATTGATACTGGAAAGTTTTGGGAAAACAAACATTAAGCTAGCTAGTAAAATTGGAATGGGCTTCAAATGTAACGATGTATTTATATCATCATCATCATCAGCACTTTTTACGTCCTCACTGCAGCGGCTCAGGCCTTTCTTATGGATGGTTAAGGAGCATGGGCCATGACCCACCACGCTGGTCCAATACGGATTGGCGGGTATTAACGACTACAAATGCAGCCGGGACCAACGGCTTAACGTGCCTTCCGAAACATGGAGTAGCTCAAGATAATAATTTTTTGGTCACCCACGAGCTGTCCTCATCAGCAATTATAATTGAGCAATATTGTTCAAAGGCGGTGGAAGTCCTAGGCCAATCATAACATTGTTGTTTCTGCAAGTAAGATATTGAATGAGTTATTTTACTTAAAACTAATAATATTCTTCCAAATTGGTCATCATCTTCAGGTCAGCTTCACACTATTACAAACCTTTACGTTTTGAAGTAGATTGCCTTTCGATTCGATATTTGTTGTCATATCAACAAACCCACAAAGTAATAATGATACGCAACACATCTTCCGATAGATATATACCGTCATTTAGGCTACGTACGCATTGGTGATTTTTTGTGTCCTGTCACCGTATCTGAGAATCAACAAATCAAGAACTCAGCTCATATTAGGTGTCTTTCTACAAATGACTGGACGACGGTGACTGAAACAAAAGCCAACGATGACCAAACATCACCAGGGCACACGTATCGACCAGACTGTAAGCTCACCAAAAGTGTTAACAGAAATATTATAAATTTGAAATATATAAGTATATAGAAAAATATATTTTATTATTAGTCAATAATTTGATATTCACCATTTGAATAAAATTGAAAAGCATAGTAGAAAAATAAATCATTAAATTATATTGTTATAATTGTTATAAGTAATTTTACAAAACACATTATTATAATTATGAAATTTGATTTATAACATAAAATAGCCAATTTTATTATTAAAGCTGCTTTTGTTATTGTGAAATATTATTTTTTATTGAAACACCAGTACTTCTTTGAGTAATGATATTTCTTAACTTAAGTTATTAATATTTAATATCGATTCGAAAAAGAGTCCTTATAATTTGATTGGTTGATCGCAGAAAAATTTGTCTGCAATCAACCAATCGCATTCCTGATCATAGTAAGTCCTGGGTAGCTCAGTGGTGAGAAAGTTGATTTTTTAAGCATTTTTAACCTCAATGAATAGGGCAAGCAGCAGATTTCTAAACGACAAGCAAATTTCACACATTCATTCAAATTACCGCCTCAGGATTATTAGAGCTCCATTAGTCGCACCTTGGTGTACTAAAGTTCATGTGTAACTAAGGGACATATTAAAGAATCCAATTCCAATGAAGGTAAAATAGATAAAAACTAAAAACAATAGATAATCTACTATGAGTTTTGCTCAGGCTACTTCTTCAGATTTAAGTTTTTTTGAATGTGATTTCAGCATCATCCATAAATGTGATTTCAGCATCTGCACACACCAAAGAAGCTTACATCTATCTCCTTATATTAATTTTATAACTAAAAATCCTTTTATTTGTAATGGATAGTGAAAACATATGCCCGTGTATATGTTACGTTCGATAATATAAAAAGCTTATCAAAAAACTATTCTATGATCTCGGCTCGAACTTCAACCATGTGTGTCCTTTAGCCTTGATGTTGAAGTCATTAGCTGCCAGCACGATAGGATCAATGGTCTTCGGGCACTTCAATATCTTGAAGTTGGAAACCAAGGTGAATAATAATACTTTCAACTCCAACAGAGCAAAACGAGAACCTGTAAATTTATCAAAATTATGTTAATCACTCCACCTATTATATTAACGAATGGTTTTCTGTATTCCACTTAATTAAAATCTTCATTTCAAAATAATATCTTTACTTAATAATAATATTTATGTTAGTATTAAACGACCGATTTTGGAGATTATTATCCCTGAAATATTGCTGTTTGATGTATATTTTGTGATATTCAAAATCATTCACATTATATTAACAACGAGGGCGTTTAATGAAAGCAATTCACAGTAAATAATTACAGCAAGATGCTCACATAAATCTGGTTGATCGACAAAAACAAACATATATTGATATAAATATTATTATGAATCTTATAAACTCACCAATACAAGCTCGCGGTCCCATTCCGAAAGGCATAAAAGTGAAAGGCTGGATGTTACGTTTGTTCTCTTCGGAAAATCGATCAGGGTTGAAAACTTCTGGGTTTGGGTAGTATTGAGGATCCATATGGATGGCATTCACAGAACTGTACACAAGATCTCCAGGGTATAACTGTAAATAAAAAATATTAAGAAATTGCATCACAAAGCAAATAGCACCTAATAATAAGGATGAAAAGGTTAAATGTTGGCAACACACTCAAACACGTCGTCAACCGATGTGTCGAATCAATTAAGAATGACTTAAAAAAGAATTATAGAAACACATATAATAATCAGACAGTACTCATTAGAAATAAAAATGAAATATAATAAATATTATTTTTAATGAAAAATACTTATCCACATGCCCTTGGTCCTCTCAGATGGGGCTCGAACCCACAACCTTGCGCAATACGGGGCACTGCTCTAATCAATGTGCTACCCAGAACTAGTGGGATGAATTTTTCAAGCATTTGTTACTTTTCGCTACTAGTGATCGTATTTTCATCAATTTCCAGGCAATCCACCCAAACATTAAGAATATTTTTCAGTATAGCATTGTGAATGGAATATTGATTAAATGTAACAAATATTATTTTGTTTAGTTCAAAATAGGCGTCTTCCCATTATAAAACATTTAAATCGGTAGAAATTAAAGTCCTCTGAAATACACTGACATTCAATAATCAAAATATACAACTATGTTTCACAAACATGAAGATATGGTGTATAGAACGTAGAGTTTTACAGAAGAGACACCATATAACAGAAAAGAGATTAATGATATTATCAAAACTAAGTAATTGAAGTTCTTCCTATTCGATTTGATTCGTTTCCATCCATAGGGAAGGCACATTAATGCACTGGAGATGGTGATGATGATGAATTGAAGTTCTAATGATCATTACCTATGTGACTGTACCAAATCCGTTGTACCGCTATATATACTAAAGTTAAATCAATATACTGAATTAAGTATAATTCGTGCAACTAAATTGATACCAAAAATTTGAGTATTTGTACTCACTTTGTATGGCTTTCCACCTTCGTGCGCTGGGGGCAATTCATATTCCTTTGTGCATATCCTATCCATCGCAATGACTATTGACCATTTTCTAAACGTTTCTGCAGAAATCAACAAAAATCTATATAAAATCCAATTCAATAAAATCGGTGTGATGTTTCAATATTTTATGGCTGCTATTCAAAATTAAGTGCTTTTATTTTAAATAAATAATAATAATAATGATTTATTGAAAGGCATAAAAAAACCCAATAAAACAATTGCTTCTAATACAATTCTTTAAGCGTGTTTTAATTCATACGCAACAGCATGTTTCGATATAGGTATGAAAATATGTCCAATCTCTCCACTTTGTTTAAATTTGAATGCTTATTGCATTGATATTGATAGAGTTCAAAATCATTACGATCATAACATCGAAAATTTTTGTACCTAGTATGTGGAAAATAAACAATTCTCACCGTTCAAAACAGAGTCCAAATATTTAAGTTCAGTAACATTTTCATACGTGAGTTTCCCTCTAGTTTCTTTAAATTCTTTTACTTCTTGGTAAAGTTTTTCTTGAACTTCAGGATTTAGACACAGTTCGTGGAGACACATGGTAATAGTAGATGCGGATGTTTCGAAGCCAGCAACGAAAAATGTAAATACTTGACCGACCAATTCGGGAAGTGTCCATTCTGTATAGAAAAAATATTTTAGAAAAAATTATATTACATTCTGTATCGAAAAAATTATAATCCGGAAATATAATTGGACGCTGTTATGCAATACTGTGTCAACCCACAAATTGACAAAAATCGAGATATTATTACTATCCGCTTCCTTAGGCAATAAACTACGTTTATCAAAAGAATTTTAAGCAATTTAAACCATTCTAATACTAAAAATATCACAAAAACTGTTGACACGTTTTCAATATCTTCCATAGAATAATTAACAATATTGCGTCATGTTCCTTAACACATATACGTTTACTTATAAGCGCCATCTGTGTTAAGAAAAATGAGTCACGAGGCTTGATACATTATTGCACAATTCGATCATTCAGTCTAGACATGTTGCAAGAAATGTTGGCGGGTTAAAATAATAGTCTAAAGGAAAATCTCATCGATATAGAATCAAAAACTGTTAGCGAAAGAAGTTTGGAGCAGAATTTAAGTAAATACATTAAAGGTGAGTTAATATTTTGCGTATTTTTCTGACTTTTATCAAACCGCTTTCGAGGTTAGGTTAAAGTTTGAATTGTGCAAAAATGTTTTAGTTTAGTTAGTACATACATTTTTGAGTGCGTTTGTAAACGTTATTTATTTATGTTAATTGTGGAATATCATAATATGTAGATAATATTTCGATTGATAAGATCAATAATATTAACAGTTTCACTTAACATGTTATTGCAATATTACAATATTAATGTTTATTCAAGCGGTCATAGATTGTAACAGACTAAATCGATTATTGCAAAATACATCTGACTGTCATTATTATGACTTATAATTCTCGTAAAACGTTCAAATAACTTGAGTCATTATAACAAAATCCCAATAATATTTATATCAATGTATGTTTGATGGATTAATGGATTTTATTTTTTTGTAAAAATGAGTAAAAAAAAATGGTAACTTAATTTCATGTATTACTTTTCTTTAAGATGTCGTTGCAGAATTCAAGAGGTCACAAGCTGGTGGATCTCGTAACGCAAAAGGTAAATTTACCCATGAGGACGTTTTTGGCAAATGAGAAAAAAATTGAAGTTGTTCCAAATCATGATATTTCAAGACAAACCTTAATGGATATGGATATCTCACTTCCAGTTATCAACATAACAGATCAGGACTTACAACAGTCACTTGAGCTTGAGGGTTCCAGGTGTACTGGATTATTTTCGGACGTAGACATTGATGGTCGAGTATCTGTGTTTTCGCCAGTCATTGAGGTCTTTGATCAGGAAAAATCCCACATTCCAGAACCTAATGATATTATAGTAAATCCTACTAATATGAGTAGCCAAACTTACCTTATCATTCCATACACAGAAGAACCAAGTACCTCAGATCATAACGTGGATGAAAGTGATATAAGAACAACTGACCTATGCTCGAGCAACAATACTTTTGAACACGTACGAAAAGTAGAAGAAACGACATTAGTATTGGAGCCTACGACGCTAGAAGGGAATAGCGAAAAACTGACAGATTACCTACAAGGAGATATTACAACGAGTTCCATACAAGGAGTTGCTGTAGAAGATCCAAATTGTTTAGAGATAACGAGTAACGTAACGGAAAATGTAGCTAATCAACAGTCAGGGAGACCCAGAAGAGGACGTAAAAGAAAATATATAGACCAAAACAGAAATATTAGAAAAAAAAAAACTAATAACAATGAAAATTATATAAGCGTGTCAGGAAAACTTGTTACCTCTAAACAGTTTGAAGGAAATGTTTTTGATTGCCGTTGTCCCCGCAAATGTACTGAAAAACTATCAATAGAACAACGTGAAAATGAATTTAAAAAGTTTTGGAGTTCTGGATCATACGAAGCTAGATGTGCAATTTTACAGGGAAGTGTTCTAGAAACAGAGAAAAAAAGATGCTACTCAGCCAATTCTAAAAGAGTATTTTCTAGAAAGTACTTTTTGGGAGGTGTAGAAATTTGTAAGAAGACATTTCTGAATACATTTAGCATAAGCCAATCGCGAGTTGATGTTGCTTTAAAAAAATTTAAATCACAAGCTCCGATAAATGATCAAAGGGGTATGAAATCGGGAGGAAAAAATTCTATTTCGGAACAAAAATTGAATCAAATAAGACAATTCATTGAAAGTTTACCCAAGTACATATCGCATTATTGTAGAGATGATAGGACTGCACGTTATTTGGCTCCAAATCTTAATCTTTCAACCATTTATGACCTATACAAGGGCAAGCATGAAAATCCTGTGGGTATTTCCAAGTTCAAGCAAATTTTTTTCAAAGAATTTAACCTGAGATTCAAAAAACCTCAGAAAGATACATGTCTACGTTGTGATCGCTTTAAAGCAAGCATATCAAGCACAACAGACACTGCGGAAATTGAGCAGTTAAAAAATGAACATAAAGCCCACTTAGATCACGCGTATAAATTGAGAGACCAAATGAAAACTGATTTGGCTCGTGCTAAAACTGAGGATTCACTGGAGACTCTAACCTTTGATCTCGAAAAAACTCACTGCTTGCCTCGTTTACCCACAAGTATTGTTTATTATAAGAGACAACTCAATTTACATAATCTCGGCATACATTGTGGTAGTTCTGGAAAAGGCTATTTTTACATTTGGTTGGAACATGAAGCTGGTCGTGGGACTCAAGAGGTGGGATCTTGTATAAAAAAGTTCATCAATGATCACTTAAAATCTAGTGCTTCGGAACTAATTCTGTGGGCGGATTCATGTGGCGGGCAAAATCGTAGCATTAAAATGATACTTATGTTGTTACACGTTCTTCACAAAAATAACAACTTGCAAAAAATAACAGTTAGATTCTTACAACCTGGTCATACTTACCTTCCCAATGATTCAGAATTTGGAGATGTTGAATGCGCCTTAAAGTCTCATAATCGCCTATATACTGCAGAGGACTACATCAGCGTTATGAAAAATTGTAGGAGAAAAAAATAAATTTGTTGTCGCAAAACTTCAAAAAGATGATTTTTACTCGGTAGTACCTCTTCAAGAACGTGTTACAAATAGAAAAATTGACACAGAGAAACAAAAAATATCGTGGCTAGAAACTTTCGAAATTGAGCTGCGTAAAAATGATGCTCAAAATATCTTTATTAAATCAAAGCTTGACGACGACTGCAAAATAGTTAACATATCAAAAGGTGCTAAAGGTCGCAAAGTAAGGCCTAATTTTGAAATGGAACTTCCTATACTTTACCCAGAAGGTCGTGAACTGTCTAGTGCGAAAGTTAAAGACCTGAAAGAAATGATGAAGTTGATCCCCGCCGATGCCAAACCATTCTACAACTTCATCAAGAACGTTAGGTCAAGCGATTTTATAGATGATACAGAAGGCTTTGGAAGTGCTATTGATTTTGAAATTGAGACCAACATAGATGAGTAAGACAGTCGTAACATTTTGTAAATTATGTGTTTGGAAGTTATTTTTTTATTTTTTGATGCTAAAGCACACTTTTTCTTTGTATGAATAGTAAACAGAGTATTTTTGTTTATTTTATGTATATTTGTTAAGATATGATTGATGATCTCATTTGATTTTGCTGTGATTAGTTTGATAATGGTGTTTAGCATTTTACTTTATACAGAATAATTTCTTTAATTTTTTTTCTTACATATTTTTATTCACATGTGACAGAGATATTTAAATATAAGGTACAAAATATGAATACAAGACTGTTAAAATATAAAGACTGTTAATACAAATAAAGAATTTGTAATATTATTTGTACTTTTCTAAGGATGTTATTATTATTACAGCAATAGTAATATAATTACCAGACGGAAGGCAATAAATATCTGATAAAACTATTTAATTCACGAAAATGTGTTCTTAGAGTTGAAAGGTACACATCTCATTAAAAAAAGTGAAATATTTAAAAATGGTGTTTGATTTTTCTTGTCATCTTGACACTATGATGCGCTTTGCTTAACTTCAGGAAACCATTATTCAATAGTGTGTCAAGGCATATAAAATAATACAGGTAACATATTAATGCTTTGTTTCAAATTTAGCAATAATATGTCATGAGACTTAAATCTGTTTTTCAAAAATTATTCTCGATTCGACATTTTTTAAAAACCAAATATTTAATTTATTTAATAATTATTTGTATATTTTATGATTTTAATTTTGTTAATTGCTTCCTAGATTATCCAATCGTTTAAATACCTTCACAAAGTTATTTATTTTTATAACATAGATTTTATTTTGACAAATATGTTGTTTTTATTTTTAAACACGATTTTCTCGAAATGGCTATCTTGTGGCTTGACATAATATTGCATAACAGCGTCCAATTAACCACTTAACATATATTAGAAAAGAAAATTTTGAAAAATGATTTAAAAAGAACAAAGAGAAATTCAAATTTTGATTTTTTTTAAGGTTTTCTTTGTATTTTAATAATACTCGTATTATTAAGAGGCCATATCTGGAATTCAATTTACTACAACTTTGATTACAAACAATTTCCAAATGATTTTTTTTAATCAAAATTATGTTTTTGATGCTTTGATTTTTTTTAGCGGCATTTTATGGTATACCTTACTATAATACTTATTGGATTTAGTTAAGATTTTCTGTTGGCACAATTATCTAAAAAGGACAGCTAATCTTATGTTGGGGATCTCTTCAATGATATTTTATTCTATACTTTCGTTTTTACATAAAGTACGATTGTATAATAATAGACTTTCATACCTCTTACAGAACCGGGTGACTTGACTTCTTCTTCGACTGCAGCATAGCCAACATCTTTATCTTCTGAAGCTGGATTGGTGTCCAAGGTACCTAAGCATAATGTTTTGATTAGAATTACAATAAATAATATCACTAATATTCACCAGCTGACTACTGATTATGTCTAGGCCTTTTACAATGTATATCATGTTTACTATTATCTGTTTCTCGTAAATCAATTACGTGAAACAGATAAGTTTGAGTATAACAAAATTTGACTAGTAAACTATCATGACACTTCGGCGTCAATCAGTAAGATCTAAGCAATGTGTATGGGTGATCTGATATTTAATAAACGAGTATCATACATTTTTATGTATTTAGTATGTATTCATTAATATATGTTTATTATAAATTACAACATACATATTTTTGATTTTTAAAATATAAAAAATACTATAGTTTTGTTTTAACTAAAGTAATAATATATTTGTATACATACATATTCTACCTATGATTTAAAATATTAAAGTACTAAAACATTGTTTGGTGAGCTGCATGACAATCAAGATTAATTTGTATATTTCAATTTAAATAAAGTGCGAATTAGAAAAATTGCAATATCGGAGGGGAGGCCTGGTGACTTGAAAACATCAAGCCTTATTTTAGGCTTAGTTTCTGGCTCCAGTCTTCCACATGACTGTTTATTTTGGCACTTGTTGATGTAATTTTTTTAAGAACATTTGTGGAAGAAAATAAATTATTATTATTATTAATCACAACAACTGACAGTGTACGAAATATAATTAAATAAGTTTACGACAGTTCGTGATCATACTGGTACTGATCAGGTACTGAATACTGGTACTAGTTATGTTTATCTGTCAGATATTTGTGTGTATGTGGAATAAAAAAAAACACGAGCTTTTAAGTGAGAAACCAATACTAACAAAAAAATTCATAGTTCCATAAAGTCAATCCACATTTCATATGCCTTGACTGTTTCTATCTCACAAGTCGTGGAATTTTCATTCCTCACAATTAATACTTTTCCTTCTACCTTCCATTTGTTGCATGCAAAATATCTCATTTGTACGCAAATCTACGATGGGAGAGCTTGTAATTGAAGAATTAGCTATTTTTCAAGCATTACCTTTTTTCAGTTGCATCAGGAGGTGTATCATATCGGGCCTGACCACATTGTTCTTTTCTCTATATTCCATCGTGCTTTTTACTATTTCAGTGAAGAATTGTGTCGTTCTTGTTGGTTTGTAAAACATTCTTGCAAACTGTTGGAAAATGAAAGAATGACTAACATAATTTTGCATTGAATAATTGTACCTCTCATTTAATCAGATTTCGATATTGTGAAGTTATACTGTCTTCGTAGATTTGAAATTTTTTTGTGAATAGTTTGGAAAGTCAGAAGTGAGTCTTGCTACTATACTAGAAACTGTAAGTACTACATGTAAGAATTGAGTTAAAGTTACAGAAATTTTGATACAATAGTGTATTATTATTCAATATAAATGTAGACGAAGGATACTTCAGCAAGACACTTATATTTTATAGCTGTTTTGATCTTAAAACGGTCCAATGTATGTATTTTACCATGTTTCGGGTGTATTATATATAACATTATTGCAATAATATTGTCTTTCTGAATGTTTATCATATTCCGTCAAATCCATGGTAACAGCTTACTCTTAAAAGGTAGTCAAGTCAAAACTGTCCCGCAAGGTTGTATCACTTTTTAGTCTGGCTTAGCTACTCACTAAGTTTCTAAATTAATATATTTCACAAGTATATCCCGTACTGATATTTCTGAGCTTCCAAATCAAGTTCACTTTTTGCACCCATTAAAACATGCCTTGCTAGTTGCTAAGTGAATATGTATATTGTTATATTAAATAGCTTATTACCTTTGCTGCCGTCGGAAAATTATCACAGAAGAACATATAAATTCTTTGCGCAAGGCTGAAATCAAACAGACTCTGACCGCTTCGATAGAACTCATTGTCTTTATCTTTAAAGGAGTTCACTTGGAGGCCGAAGGCAGTGGTTGCTATTACATCAGTAGTGAAACGACGCATCACATCATCTAGATTCACATCTTTTCCGTCATGTTCTGAAAACAATACAAAATGGAGATCAAACTAAAAGTTATACTCCTGCTAATAATCGTGGCAAGGTTAGACGTTAATAGCGATATTGCTTAGGGCCATGGCCATTAAATGCTTAGCAAAGTATAGAATGATACAGACAAGTTTATCTATGTAAAACTGTGAAATAAACACAACGCAAATTTTAGTAATGACATAGTTAAGTTTATGCATAAATTCTTAATGTGTAGTTCAGAAAAACTAACTTTAAGTAATTATCTAAATTGTGCTTGGATAATATTAATGTCTTAATTCTGGAAGATCCTCTATCCAACACTTTTCTTAACTAGCACTTTGATTTAAGTAAATATGAGAGCTATTTGTAGATTGGCTATGAATTTACGATTCTACAAGAGTTGTATGAGGTTTCTTACCCTTTAGATATTCTACGATATTGACGCCAACCTCTTGTATGAATGGCACCATTGTTTTCATCTTGGAACCGGTAAACGCCGGGCTGAGTTTTGTTCTCATGTCTCTCCATTTTTCATCTATAAACGGCAATTTTTCATTACATGGAGTAGGAATAAAATAAAATTATAGAATTCGGTTCTGTGATAAAAAAAAAACTTAATGAAAAATGCTTAAAAATCTACTTTGTCCTTGGTACTCTGAGGTGGGACTCGCACCCACAACCTTACGCAATCCAGGCGATAGTTCTAACCACTGAGCTACTAAATGTTCAGACAATCCACCGAAACAGACGATTTTTTTTTCAAATATTTAAACTTTCGATAAAGATGATTTTTTAAAATTTTATTAAGAATATTTTCAGTATAGCATTGTGAATGCAAAATACATTCAATATAATAACATTCTTATTTTTTGTGATACATATATATTTACTTTTTAGAATAGGTGTAGAGACCGAGCACTATAAGGCTAACGATCATTTGTAAATACGACCATCAAAATTGTCATTAGTTAAAATCGACATTACCTATACAAATCTGATGTTCATTAGAGCTTAAAGGCGTCATTGAACCTTAATAGACTTTTGTGCAACTAACCGACACTTCTTCGACGTCCACTTTTTTCATATGTACCCACTCGCTAGTTTTTATAGTACGCGATCAATTGAATTCATTTAAGAAATGAACAAGAATAGATTTTACATTTGTATCGTACCACTTGTTGGTCACATGGGTCTACGTTTGACTTTCAATAGTTGGACTTGAAAAGAAGAAAAATTCTTCAGTAACTAAAAGTCATAAGTTAAACACCTTATACTTCAGTCAAATTACTCGCAAAGCAGACACGAGACTTTATTACACTTTTGAGTGTTTGTCAGTGCGTATCTCACGTAGGATTTAACGGGATTTCCGTCACGTACGAAGGCGTATTGCACCAGAACCCCCTGTTCTTGTACGTACTAGAATTTCGGAAAAAATAGTATTGTTCTTATACTTTTCTTAAAATCATATCTATGAAGATTATCTGTGCATCAGAGGCAGAGTCGGGTCCGACCTCTGTTACATCATAAATTATTGAAAAGTGCGTTACTTTGAAGTCGTATTAGCGTTCCGAAAATAGACGAAATTTTGTTTTCGTAGAAACAAAGTAGGCCTTCTGGCTCCATTTGTGAAGGGGTAGGGTACGAGAAAACATATTATTGTCGTGCGCTCGTTCATCGACAAGGCTAGAGAATTAAAAAACAATCTGTGTTGATTTTTCAAAAGCATAATTAAATTTCTTATTTATTTTTTTATTTTCATTTCAAGATTGACTTATTTGTTATTTTGATTTTCATTGTTAATTATCCTGTTACTGATGAAATCCGTCAGAGTGTCCATCCAATAATTTTCGAGTTATTGCATCCAGATACGCAAAAGAGGCTGGGAATATTGTTTTAATCGTATGAATCTGTCGTTAATAAAGTTTTTAAGGAAAAGATAAAATAGAAATTTGAACAATAAATGGTACCTATATGAGCTGTCAAGGTCAACTACTGCGCCTCTAGTTTGCTATTTTAAGATAAAAAGAACTTGATAAAACTCTTAGTGCATGAATGTTATTACTCAGTCCATGCATATTTGGTTTACAAATTACTATAATAATATAATTGTTCCATAACATTGTTTTTTTTTATGTCTTCCTAATCGAATTAATAATAATTACATAGTTTTCTGTAATTTTTTAAATGGTTATAATAATGATATATTCCTAAATAATTATGATTTTAGATAGATAGATAGAGATAGAATATTCTTTATTGCACACACAAAGACAATATACACTTATATGACAAAAACAGGAGACGTACAATTGGCGGCCTTATCACTAAAAGTGATTCCTTCCAGGCAACCTTGGGATGGAGTTAAATATAAAAGACCTAATGGTGGGGTAGTGGATGGTGTACAAATAAACAATAACTTTATTTAACTTTTATAATTAAATTAATATGATATTTGCATGCTAGTGTAATAGCTAAGTGAGCTGAACTATAATTGCTTTTTTATCTTTTATTGTACCTCATTTAATAGCAAATAAACGATAATTATGATTATTTTTATATCCTATTTACAATCAAATATTCGATAGGTTTCGAAAGACACAAATGACGTAAAAAAATCAGTCAGATTCCAAATGCGTTGCGACGATATTCAGATTTTGAAGACAGTGTAAGATTAAAATAAAGTCAGGACCTGCCAAAACACCTTTTTTATCAATATTTATTAAGTACGGAAAATATAAAATGTACCATACACGTTTTAAAAGAAGAACACACTAGTATAAGGTACTGTTTAATAAAGCACTCTGGTGAATGCCAGAGCGCTAAAAAGTCAACTAGAATACGTCCCAATATACAATGCCGCACCGGCTAATCATGGGAGAATGTCCTGTTGGGTTTAAGTACACCAGCCCCATAATCTACTAATTTTAAAATCTTATGCGATCTGTTATAAGGGATTCCAGTTTTTAGTTTAAAAAAAAAACTTAATTAATCTTTGCACGACAAATTTTAATAATTAGAAAAGTTTCATTAATTATACTGCTACTAACTCTTTTTCGTGACTTTGTCTGCGGATAATTAGTAATTCTTGTAGCTTATTAAAAATTCCAGAAATCCATTTACTTTCCAGGGTCAACTAAGTATGAAAGCGTAACAGATAGATACTTTCGCATTTATAATATATGTGAGGATGAATATCCTGTCGTCAGCCGTGGGGCTAGCAAATATATGTTTAGAAGGTCATAGACTCCCCCCCTATCTTGGTAATCGAAGCGAAACGAAACGAACAAGCACTATTGCTTTATTCGTGTTAACTTGTCAAAATATGTAATAATCGATCTAACTTGCTTATTTTGTTATATTTTAAAATGTTTGGTATTATAAGTGCTACGTTAATATTTATCTCATAGAACATATTTAAAAATCCAATCTTTTCAGGCACACTTTTGAGTATTTAATCTAACATAGATTATTTCTAATGTTATTTTCGCTTATAAAATATTATTTATCTATGAATATTATCATACTTTTTTCATAGTTTTTTTTTATTATTTAATTCTTATTATTCTCTTATATTTTCACGTGCACTATCTATAAATGAAACAACTTTTAAACGGTTTCATCGCGTTTGTATTTAGTTTTATTGACGTTTCGGACCCTTTACAGGTTCCGAGTTCACATAAGACTAATGTGTTGATTGTCTTTTTGATTAAAAATTATAGCTACCTTCAAAACAATATTATAGAACAATGTGTTCAAATGTATTATTCAATTCTTATTAAACTATGTCATTATTGTTTTTGAAGTAACTATACTTTACCATAGTTGTTTTTGACAAACAGTAAATTTATGACGTGTTGTTATAATAATCTTTTAGGCTATTTTTTGCATCCCGTGTACTCTTTCTAACCGAGAGCATCCCCAGGGTTTTAAGTGTGTAGATCTGTTGAGTAGATCAGTAGGGAAAGTCCCACAAAACCTTTGACCCCCTAACGCATTTTCCCTGACTAAAAACGTTATTTTAGTATAATACGAGGGTCAAACTGAAAGTTCTTAGAAAATCAAAAACTGATTACATTAGCCAGTTATTAGTTTTATTATATCTTTTCAAAATATTGTCCATTCACGTCAATACACCGCTGCATGCGATGGAACCACTGGGAAAAGCACTTTGCCCACTCGTCCTTAGGGGTCTCTTCAATGGCATCGCGATACGCAGCCACCGCTTCTTCAGCATTCATAAACCGCTTTCCTTTAAGTTTCTCTTTAATTTTTGGAAATAAATAAAAATCACAAAGCGCGAGGTCGGGGCTATACGGCGGGTGACCCAGTAATTCAACGTTTGATGTCGCCAAATAGTCGATCGTTCGCTTGGCGGTGTGCGACGAGGCGTTGTCGTGGTGAAGGAGGATCCTACTGCGAGGTCGTTTCTCTCGAACTTTTTCCAAGACAAGTGGCAAACAATTGGTAGTGTACCATTCTGCAGAAACTGTTTTTTGATCCTCTAACACAATTGTTGCAAAATGACCTATCCTTCCAAAGAACGAGGCCACCATTTTTTTTCCCGCACTTCGATCTCTCTTCACTTTAGTTGGCAACTCCTTGAAAGGAAACACCCACTGAGCAGATTGTCTTTTGGTTTTAGGATCATAACAGTAAATCCAGCTTTCGTCACCTGTTAGTATGTCGAACACAGCATTTGAGTCACCTCCGTTAAATCTTTCAATCATTTTACGACACCAATCCACACGATGGAGTTTTTGAGCCTCAGTCAAATTATGAGGTATCCACCGGGCGCAAAGCTTCCTGACCGCTAAATGTTCGTGGAGGATTTTGTGCACTTGACTCATACCGATGCCTAAGCTTGTCCGAATCTGTTGATAGGTCACTCTTTTGTCAGTCTCTATCATACGCCGCACAACACAGATGTTATCTTCAGTCGTCGCCGTAGAAGGCCGTCCCTCACGTAAATCATCAGTGAGATTAGTGCGACCACGTTTAAACTCATTAAACCAGTTGTAAACAGTCGCACGAGATGGGGCTTCATCGTGAAAGGCCAATCGTAGTCTATCATAACTTTCTTGTTGACTTAAATGACATCGAAAGTCATAAAAAATCATTGCACGAAAATTTTCTCGTGTTAAATTCATGATGACGTGACACAGACAATTTTCAATCTGCCGTCAAATCGTAAAACAAATGACAAATGAATGAAATATATACTCAGTAATATTGGCAAAGAGTTATATTTTCAAATTTTAGAATTATTTTTTTATTATATTGTTTATAAGTGGCCAGTTCTAAGAACTTTCAGTTTGACCCTCGTATTAATTTGTATAATGTTGTTAGACATAAAATAACCGATTAATCGGTCAAGTGGGACAAATCACATTAAAAAACGAGCGTGTAGCCGCTAGCAAGCGCGATGTACAGTACATGTAAAACATTCAAATTTCATTAATTTTTTTAAATCTATTTCCAATCCTAACATTAAGAGTTTTCAAGCCGTTTAAAACTCCTGTAAATAATATGAAATAACTATTTTTTTTTTCTATTTAATTGCTTAAAAACATAGCATAGATAAGAGATTTTGCGTTGCTTTAAATGCAGCACCGAGCGCCGAGTGACTCGGCATTAATAATATTCTGCGCAGTCACGATGACTTTACAAATTCGACGTTGCATGTTGAGGCGTTGTGGAATTCGCCAGTTGCTCATATTACGGAAGACATCGCGTTTCATTATCATAAAAAAACATCAAAATTACAATGCAATTGTTTCACATAATCACTTACGACTGATTAACGTAAATTATCAATACTGAAACTTTTGTTATATCTTTCGTGAAACATTATGTAGGACTATTAAGTCGCAATTTTTCTATTATAACCAAGACGGTTTGCAAAAAGTCAATTGGATGGTACGGACTCTAAATTATATGAATCTCAATTGTGTGTTCGTGGCTTCGTCGGTGCCTCATACGACCTTGAGTTCGGCGCTGGCCATAAAGAGATAAGGCTAAAAATACATTATGACGTTATAATGACAATCATACCGTCTGTGCCATAGACAATATATCTGACGTAATGAACTCGTATTTATTTACTTTAAAGAAATTACATATATAGTGTACTAGCTTTCGCCAGCGGCTTCGCCCGCGTGGACCCTAGAGAAATGTTTAGTGGGATAAAAAGTTAACACCCTATCTTTATACCAAATTTCATCAAAATCCGTTCAGTAGTTTCGGCGTGATTGACATCCAAACATCTAAACATCCAAACAAAGAAACTTTCACATTTATAATATTAATAGGATTAGTTGAAAGTTGTGTTTATTATTGTGATAATACATATTATTTTGGTAATGACATGATTTTGTAAATATCATTACTTATGATAAAGAGCTGGTAAGTTTATTTCGCTTGTTTGCTGGTAAGTTTTCTCTCTCTCTATTTATAATGTATTGATTTGGTAATAACATGGTTTTTGTAAATGTCATGTAGAGTTTCTTGCTCGATCTTCTTATCAGCCAAAAGACGTCCTGAGCGCGCGGTGGGGAAAAAAATGTTGGACGATTCAAAAGTGCTTGTAAAAAGCTTACTTAATTAAAGATATTTTAATTTCATTAGTAACAGTTTTTTGAATATATTTGAAACTGAAATTTTGAATATTTTAATAAATCAAATAAAACTTTTGATAAATAAATAATTATTTTTAACCCATATCCCCACTGGGTTCCGAAAATTTGAAAATAGTGTAACATCAACAATATTGATATTTTATACAACTCCTTTTACAAATTAATGACACTATAATTTAGATCAGGACTACAACTTTTGTTAAAAATATATTAAAATATAATAAAATAAACTTCTATGGGAAGAATAAAGAAAATAAAATCCTCAACTTAAAAATTAAAGTTAAAATACATATAATCTACGGCACCTCTTGGTTCCGCGAAGCTTTTGCAATCGCACGTAACATTACCACGTTATACGGCGGCTATTGACCCAATACGTGTGCATTAAACACCCGTACATACGTTCTCATATAGCATTATCCTGTCCTAGATCGACTTCACATGTGCACCGACCTCAATTCGGACCGCTATTTATAATTCTCCTACTCTTATATTCTCCGTTTACATTTAATAATGTATTTTTTCCTACAGATAGTAGGATAAAATTCTTATCTCACCTGCATGGTTGATTTAACAGGTATACACTTAAATTAGTCGATTTTAATTTCATTTATCACGCCGTTAGTACACTGATGCATTCGCTCGTGAAACATCTGAGAAACTATTGAAAACTATTCTAAACAGTACTGATAAAGAACGAGGCTATTTTGTCCAGTTTGTAACGAAGTGCCGTACCACCGTTTATTTTGTCCTAGGTTTCAACATGCAAACTTTTTGTCTTTGATATTCAACATAATTTCTTTTTACTATTCACCTTTCGTAATTTGAAATTTTGACTAATCAAATATACTGTTTATGGATGTCAGTTCGTAAAAAATTCTTCTGTTGTGAATATTGTAATTAGTATAAATTTAAATATAAAAATGTTATAAATAAAGATCTGTTATTAAAATAAAATAAAATAAAAGTATATCCTGAAACTTGGACGATCCAAGTTTTTATTAAGAAACCCAAAAAAGAGTTTCTTTTTTTTTACCATTTATACCACAAAATAAATCCATTCTCAAGCTAGTCAGCCAAACAATTATTTGCCCAAGCATTGAACCCGTCATAAGTTTAAAATAAAAAAAACGCATGCGAATCATTGCCATAGAACCGACAGTTTTTTGTTGATTCGCATTTTCTTACTAAAGCAAGATACTGCGAAACTATACTTATGTAACGATGTTTATAACAGGTGCCTGCAAAACCGTACAGTTGAGCTAATAAAGTCGAGCGAGATAAAGAACATGAGAAAAAATGACCATACAATTGACTAGTATTTTTGTTATTTCGTTTTCTGATTTTGCTGGTCAGTGTACTCTCGGCTGCGCATCATTCTACCACAATATGTCAAATTTCCGCAATTGATTTTGACTTTACCATCAAAATATTTATATTTGAAATCAAACGGAGAAATTTGACGCCACCGAGCTACTTCTTAGAATTTACTTTGTTTTATTAAACGCCGTAAAGTATATTTCTATCTTACCTTTCATCATTATAAGAGTCAGTCCAAATAACGGGTCCATTTCTTCCGTGAAGAAGTCCTTATGGTTCATGAAATGTTCGAAATCTTTGACAGTGATCCTTTTAATGAGCTCCGGGTCACGGATTAGGATGGCCGGCGTGGTACCCTCGATGTAACCCACATATCTGTTAATTAAGACAAATATTTTTATTATATTTGTCTAAGTCAGAGTCAAAGTCAAAATAATCTTTATTCAAATGGACTTCTTAAAAGTACTTTTGAATTTTCCAACTTCTTTTCCCTACCACTCGTTCAGGACGTCTTTTCATTATAAATAAATCAATTTTGCTTTACAATGTTGCTAGGGAAAAAGTGGTGTTTTTTAGCATTTTTCATTAAGAATATAAACATCTTTTTACTGACTGTCCAAAAAGGAGTGTACTGTGTTTAGATATATAATTTAAATGAGAAATAATATCTAACACCAATGTTCAATTAGCATATTTAAGAAAGCCTACTTTTTAACGCCACATACAAGCATTTTTTTTCCGTTTCGTGTATTTGTTGTTGTTGAGATTATTTTTTTACATTAAGTCATAACAGAATAAAAACATCAATGATCTCACATATTTTATCTTCATTCAAAACAGTAACAATTATCTCTTAGAGAAACCGATAGTTTTACAGATATGGAAAATAAACATATTTATACTAATATTATAAAGACGTAAAACTTGTTTGTTGGCATCGAATAAGCTTCAAAACTATAGAACAGATTGATTTTCTTTCACCTACGGGAAGGTACATCATGCCTGTTTAAATTATAGCTTAGAAGCTATAATTTAAACGGGCAAAGTCGCGGAAAAACAGCTTGTTTCTAACAATTACAATGTGACCTCTTAAAGTTTTATAAAGAGTATTAAATTAAACCCTATGTCGTAATATGTAAGCTGCCGGGAGCAACGAATGTGCCTTCTGAAGCAAGGAGGAGCTAAAGATAATAATATTTTTTTTAACCCATCCCTGATCGGTCCTTGCGAAAGCTGCTTTAAAACTGTATCGCAAACCAAGTCGCTAACTATTTCACTATCGTGTTTTTATATATTTATCCGTCTCTATCTCATAGACTGGCCAATTACGTGGTGGAAAAAGTAGGACCAATTAAGAAACAAAAATGTACTTTTACTAGTAGTATATCTAACACTCCTTCACAGTGGCGGACTAACACTGTAGAAGGCCCACAGCGGCAATAAGCCCGGATCTACAACTTTTTCCAACCGGGGCAGAACTTTGATATTGCGTTATATTTATATTTATCATACGTTTTTTACTTTATTATATCATTATTATTTTCAAGTGACTGCAGCTACTTGGAGGCCTCCTCTTAGTCCGCCATTGCTCCCTCAACGCGTGATTTGCTCGTGAAAGCGTGAAGAATTGATAGATAGACAGACAGCCCAGATACACACACATATAAAACTATTCAGAGAGCTATTTCGCATTTAAGTTTAACTATTTTTCCGCTAGTGTAGGCCCAGTATTATCCATTATAAATATATACCATCCTTTTGAACTACTATGATGAAAACCGTTGAGCAGTTTTGAAGATCTCAGCGTACAGACAGCGAGAAGCGACTTAGTTTTAAGTATGGACATGACGCAAAATTACATATAAATGTTTAACCACGTTGTCAATGTTACTTATAAAAAGATTTTACGCACATTAACAATTAGCAAACTACGAGTACATTATGTATATTAAATTTATTGTATTTATCGGTGAGCTTGTTTCGGGTGACGAGTGAATATACGATTAATATATATATGTATTAAGCTTTATACATTATAGATATATCATATTTACTTTTTAAAATTTTCTTAATATTAATTGTGATGGAAAGTGACTTCATATTTCAATGAAGTCATTTTTAAATTTTGACGACTCTGTATGAAATAAAACAGGGCGAAAATAGCAGCCCTTGCCGAGTTTTACAAAATAGAGTTTCGTCTTTCAAAAGTAACAGTCTAGACTGAATAAATAATTTTGATTTGATTTGAAATAAGCTGTTGAATAAATCTGAAATAAATGATTAGTGAGTCAGACTTAAAAAGATAATCCATTAGGAAATAAACTGCCCAGTAGACAAGGACAACTCCATAGACCTGAGATAAATGGTAAAAAATATGACGATCATGCAGTCTAATTGCACAAAGATAACCGAGAAGTATTTCTTACGAAATGTTGTTGTTGACTTGCTAGTAAGAATCTCTTATGAATGGCTTTACCAGGACTTTACATTTTATTCTGTGCCGCAACTACACCCATTATAACTTACTAGCTTTTCTAGGGAACTGTTTGACGAAATAAATAATAGTAAGATTATTTAGGCCTGTGTAAACAGTATTTGATTATATTAAACAGCTTAAGTAATTTTATAATTACAAATTGAGTAGTAAACAATGGTTTCCGACTGATAATAATTCCAAAATAAAAAGCCGTGGATTTTTTATTTTTTTCTATATAAAACAAAATAGAAAAGATAATATTAAAAGTATAAAAAGTATACAAAAACTTCAAAAAGGTTTAATTGTCGCCGTCGTCGGCAACAGTAAGTAACGTTTTAATTCCTCATACAAACTTCCACATCCATTATCATCCCCAAATTTGCAGTTTTTGGGGAAAAAATACAGCTAATGTCAATCATGTAGCTTTGCGTAGGTGAAACAATTTTCAAAACCGATCGAGTAGTTTCGGTGCCTGTTCGATGCAAACAAACAGTCAAATCTTTCCTATTTATAATATTAGTATAGATAATATAGATGTCATCCGTGTATGACGTAGTTTCCCGCCGGTGAAAGTATTTTTTTACATCGGTTCAATATCGGAGCCAAACAAATCTTACCTCTTTGAAATATATGTCGCATCATCTTTACAAAGATCGTTTGATTTAGTTTCATTTTAATTGCTAGTTACTCGATTACTTAATTACTCGATTGTAGAGAGAGCGTGATCATCGATACTTTAATTTTATTAGAATGGTGACACTGACTTTGACAGTTCGTTAACAAAAACCAAATTGCCGCCATTTTAGTAGACATTTGTTTCCGATCGCCGAGGAGTAAAGAGATCCGACGACATCGCTCTCATCTCGTTATATTTTCGTATGAAAAGTGATAAAATGGAACAAATCCACGTTGGTATACACGCCTGCAGTGTTATTTTAAAGATAGTCCTCCGATATGGACGATCTATTTGGGCTTCGTAATAAGCCCTTCTGACTACACTTCGACATATAATATAGATTAGTTTATCTCCCTGCAAATTTCTCTATCCACGGTTACCAACATATATTTATTTTAAACGAGCCTTGATTTACGTATATGTAAAGAAGCATTAGCTTTAGAGTAGCTCGGTGGCGTAGTGGATAAGCGCCGCGGCCCGCGATCGTAGTCGTTAAGCAACTTTCGCAAGGGTCGGTCACGGGATGGGTGACCAAAAAATTATTGTCTTGAGCTACTCCGTGCTTCGGAAGGCACGTTAAGCCGTTGGTTCCGGCTGCATTTGCAGTCGTTAATACCCTCCAATCCGTATTGGGTCAGCGTGGAGGGTCATGGCCCATCCTCCTTAACCATCCATAAGGAAGGCCTGAGCCCCTGCAGTGGGGACGTAAAAGGGTGATGAAAGAAGCATTAACTGTGTTTTCGGCAACAATATAAATATCGGCAAAAAAAGATCACTATCGCTATAAAATCATGACTTGACCCAGCTTTTACCGAACCTTGACCAGTAAATAAAAGTGAACCAAAATAAATACGGAATATTTAATATCTTGTGATATAAATAAAAGTGAACCAAAATAAATACGGAATATGAATTATCTTGTGATAAGTTTCAATGACATTCACATAAATTATCTTGTAGGCCATTTCAATGAACACAGAAGTGATTTATAAGTAATTGTCTACAATTTAGTTTCAACTGAAATCATAACAATTGTTTCTTTGAGACTGAGCGTAAAGAGAAAACGAGACGAAATAAACGGTGAACGAGATAGACAAAGACAGCGGATAGCGCATTGTGCTATTTCATCACCAAACTATTAATGTCCCTTCTGTTGCGGCAAAGGTCTACGGATGAAGTCGAATTGAAAAGGGAGATGTATTATACGATTTTATGCCCGTAGTACACCGATACATTCGTGTACGGAAGCCAAACTCTGCGAAGCTATTCATCATCAGCCCTGATACGTCCTCACTGCAGGGGTTCAGGCCTTACTTATGGTATGATTCTTCATGCTCTAGCTTAATGTAAACTGGAGGATATTAACGACTGCAAACGCAGCCGGTACCATAACGTGCCTTCCGAAGCACGGATTAGCTCGAGATGATTATTTTTTGTCACCCATGACCAACCATGCGGCAGTTGTTTTCTACTTTTTACTGTCACTTGTAAATATCAAAATATTATGCCATCACAAATTACGCCTTAATTTACGTCATCGAGATACTCTTTGCCTTTACCGAGTTATTGTGAATGCAAAACTGCACTTTTTTCATAAAGAAAATATCAGTGGCTTGTGAGTGTAGAGCGCCAAAAACAATTTTAATTACTTTAATTTTAATTTTCTAACCTAACTCTCAGCTACACAATGACTCATAATCACCACAGTAGAGGTACATCAATTTATCTAAAATATCCTATAAAAATAAAAAAAATATCATGTAAACTTGGCCATGTACTTGATTTTACAATTTGCTCATATTCCAATGACGTCATAAGTGAACGCGGAACGAGAAAAAGTGGAAAAGTAAGTTCTTTTACATACATTTAACTGTAGTTTGCATTTAAGTTATTTAACAACTGGGAGAGAGCACGAAATTAAAGAGAAAGCGAACTATTTAGTCCAGCTGTAAGGCCAGACAATTAGACAGATAAGGAAAAATAATGGCGTATGTCACGTAAATGTATTTTTTTTATTAATTACTTGAAAAGCCATACGTTTATAAAATAGCTTGTGTTGGTCTCGTATAAAAAATATAATATTACTGTAAAAATGGGAATATACTCGTAATTATCAAAAGAAATTCAATATGGTTGAAGTTTCGAGGTAAATTTGTATTTTTTTACATTTATCTCTAGAAATATTTTCTCTCTTCATTATTCAGTACCTGGATGACCGAGCTTTACTCGATATATTTTTATTTATCACCCCGGAAACCTTCTACATACTTAAATTTCATGAAAATTGTAGAACCGTTTTGAATATTATATATGTGAAAGTTTGTTTCTTTGTATGTTAGTCCGTCAATCACGCCGAAACTACTGATCTGGATGAAATTTGGTATTCAGATAGGGTATTAGCTGACTTAGATAATAGGATTCGACCACGCGGACGAATCCGCTGGCGGAAGCTAGTATATATAAAAGAATGGCTAGTTAAAAGTATAAGACTACATTTCTTTCATTTTACAAAACATTATTCCTAGTAATAGCATAACGTTATTTTATAACTTTTCTTCATTCTAATTACAGGTAAAGCAGGTACCTTAATAATTAACTTAATAAATCAATGTTATTGCCTTGAGGTGTCTATATTACTTTATGTTTAGACATAAAATTATGATATCAAAGCTGACGCAATTACCTCTAATGACTTTATGCAGAAAATTTGCTAAAGCTTTTTTATTATAATTTATCTCAGTTTTGGGTCTCTTAGACTCTTCTAATCTTTCAAAATATGAAACACGACTATTGAAAAAAGTCAAAGGTAAAAGATAACTTATGAATCAGTAAATATGATATTTTTATTTGATATTTATTAAAATAAATAGCAGCTTCCATACTTTGGGAGTATTCGAAGTCTTACACGCGTTTTAAAACTACGTATAGCTCAACTTGGAAATACCTAATCTTACGAACTGCCTAAGCAGATTTGTTTAATTCCAAATAAATATCCTTTTCTTTCATCCCTTGACACATTTGTAACCTGTTTAAAGTCTTTAGGTGGTTTCTAGGCATTGGTGAAATGTACGTTCACCTTGGGCGATTCCTAAATGTTTAGGAGACAGATTTGGGCGTCTCCTAAATTTAGTGAAAAGAATACATTACTTGCAATGGCATTATGAAGTTCAAGCAGTTTTGCAAAAAGTTATGATGTGAGTTTATGATGAATTCTTCACTTATGGTGTAAGTTTATGGTGAATTAAGTAGACATCCTATTAATATTATAAATGTGAAAGTTTCTTTGTTTATATGTTTGTCCCTCAATTACGCCGAAACCACCAAACGGATTTTGATGAAATTTGGTATACAGATAGGGTATTAGCCGGCATAGATAATAGGAGTTTTCATCCCACTAAACTTTCCCCATGGGACCTCGCGAGCGAATCCGCTGGTGAAAGCTACTAAAGTCATAACCTTAAAACTTGCTTTTTAATGACGACTAGCTGTTTTCCCGCGATTTAGCCTGCATAAATTATAGCCTATGTTACCCCCGTAATGTAGCTTCCCGTAGGAGAAATAATTTTTAAAATCGGTGTAACAGTTTCGGAGTCGATACGATTCAAACAAACAATGAAATCCTCCCTCTTTATAATATTACTACAGATATATGAGTTTCAATTTTTCCTGAGTCTTAAGGCATTTTCAAACTTTCTCTGTTATTGATATAACATTACTAAGCGCTATTAAAAGAAACGTTATTGTTTCTCCTTTGTAAATGTTTGTTTCTTACAAATTCATTGCTCGAACGAGACGTCCTGACGGTCGTTATGGTAATTAAGCTACACGTACAAAATGACACAAGAATACTAATTAATGTTTATAGAATAACAGATGTCTTTATTAAATATAACAATATATTATTTGGGCCGTAACGACATAATGTTTTGTCATGTTTTTTTGATAGGAATTAGACTGACTTTATAATAGGCTTAAAGAAAAGAGGTGGATCTCATGTGTAGATACATGTTGTATTACACGGTAGTTATTTTGGTGTAACGATTTTGACGCACTTTTTATGACGCCGATACTACTGTCAAAGTCGAATAAAAAAAAAAACATTTAATATACCAATTAGACAAAAACAGAAATATACCGAACTCATTGGAACAAAAACTCAAATAACATAACTTAAATATTTTTTTATTATGCAGAATAAGGATGAATGAAATTCAAAATAATTTACATCTACCGATAAATTAACGGTAGTCAATGACCGATCATTAAAAACGAGGTACAGGAATCGCCCACATCACATGTAGGCCCTGTTGACTAATGTAAATAAGCCATAGATTATATCCATTCACGCCAGAAATCGGCAAGGTTCTCATCTTCAATCATTCTCACTCTCCAACCTATAATCGTCCTAGGTACACAATCCTAGTCCTAGAGGTTTCTCATCTTCATATTTTTTATTTAAACTGCAAGGATATTTATATGAGGTATAATAATAACCCAAAACGCATGCTGGAAAAGCTATACTAATATAGTTTTTATATTAAATTATATATGTTTTATTCTTAATAATTGATCTTAATCTTAGCCTGGAGGCATGATTGAGATCATTATGATGATGGGGACAAAAGCCAGGTCCTTACAGATAGACTTAATATAAAATAATAAAAAAACGCTTACTATTACTATAAATTGATAGTTGATGATGTAAATAATATGTATGTTTCATTTGTTTGTTTGCATTGAAAAGGCCCTGAAAATAATGGACCGATTTAAAAAATCATTTCACCGTCAGAAAGTTACATCATATGAGGGTGACATTATTTACACGGCTGAAATCGCAGGACGTTAAACAGCTATTAACAAAAAAAACTGCTAATAATTATATAGTACAATAGAGCCCAGAATTTACCTTGAATTTTTAACGTATAAAATCATTGTAAATAAACTGTAATTAGAAAAATACTAGTTGATAATGTAATTTTATAGTAGGTCTTGATTTAATTACCAACTTTCTAGTAGTTTTTGAAATTACCAATTACAAACAAAATAATAAATAACCAAATCTTTCTTCCTTATTCTTATTATTGTTAATTGGATACTATTATTAAAGAAATATAAATAAAAAACACAATTACCTTTCCTGAGGGAACGCTTTGTAGACCTCGTCAAAATCATAAACCATGTGTCTCTTGAGCAATGTATATTGCAAGGCGTTCCCGAAAACGGGAACGCCAGGTAGGAACTTTACATCTCTATCCTTGTATCGGTTATGGATTTTCTTATAAATATACCAGTAGTATCCTATAATAGCCGTCAAAATAAACAAAAGTATTTCGGTCAACATGGCTGGCCGGCTTAAAACGCACTGTGCCGGCAAGCGGAGTGTGAGCAAAACAAGTAAGGTCAACACTAGAGCTGGAGAATATATCGATAAAATAAATTGATATGAATTTTTTTAATTTCATTTATCTAATGGGGCTTTAAAAATTTAGGAGATACTTTTAAATTTTGGTATATTAGACAATATCACATACATACATTATAGAAAAGTTACTATTTTATGTTATATGAAGTTGTTGTTTAAATTTATACTAAGATGCTTTGGGTCATGGAGATTATAATATCGTTGTATTTTTATGCTTAATGCAATTTTTGCATTGCATTTAGTTTTATATGCCATTTCAATTATTTTCAACTTTAATTCAAACTTTTCAATACGTAAAGAACAAATGAAAACATTGAGATATATTGATTCTGCCGAAAATTAAACTCAGGACTTCGAAGTTGATTATCAGATTATTAGGTATGTCAACTAGAAATAATAAAAATGAGTTAACATCACTCAAGTTTCTCAATTCTTATAGGGTCTCTGTACACTCTCTTTAGAAGTTCCATACATATTAAGGATATTCAAGTAACGCCTTCGTATTTGAAACAATCAAGGGAGTACGACACCTTGACCTAAAGCAATTGTATTATGGCAATCTGAAACAATGAAGTTGATACAACAGCAAGATTAGAGACAATATAGAAAAATCAGTTTCTACATTGAACCATATGATTTGAGCCGTACGATAAATAAGTCCGATCAAAAATCGTACCCGGGACCTCAGATATGTTAAAGCCTTTCAACCGGCATTAGAGCCGCTAGGCAATGGAGATGAATCATGAAGGTCACTAATCATGAAAGTCACTAAAGATATAAATAAAATAAAATCAGTTTTCTAACGTGTAGTAAAAATATCGAAACATTTTATCGATAACACCATTAGGACTGCCTTAATCTTAAAAAGCCTATATAGATTATAATACCTATATGTTGAACACCAATGCTAGTGATATCACAGTTCTTATTATAGGTATGCAATTTTATATCGAATAAATTTGAATTTTATCTATAGTATCTTAAGCGTGAGATTCGCATGTAGGATTCGTTTGTTAATGTCTGGAAGCTAGTTTTGAGTTGTTTGTGTATCAAACCTGTTTCAGAAAGACCAAGATGCAATTTCAAGGTTAAGGACCTTTGTGGCCCTTATATATTTATTTAGCTGCAACAGATATCTGAATAGTATATTTTCTAAAGAGAAAAACCATATCCTTTGAGTATGATTATCATCATCATCAGCCCTTTTACGTTCCCACTGCAAGTGGTCAGGCCTTTCTTGTGAATGGTTGAGGAGTGTGGATGATGACCCTCCACGCTGGCCCAATGCGGATCGGAGGGTATTAAAGACTGCAAATACACCCGGATCAACAGCCTAACATGCCTTCAGAAGCACGGAGTAGCTCGAGATAACACTTTCGGTCACCCATCCCGTGAACGACCCTTGCGAAAGTAACTTAATAACAGCGATCGCGGACCGCAGCGCATATCCACTAGGCCATCGAACTACTCTCTCTTGAGTATACACTGATCTAATAAAATCTTTTTCAGGGTAATTTTATAGCGAATAAATATGAATTTTATCTGTAGTATCTTAAGCGTGAAATTAGCAAGTAAGAGTCGTCACTTGATGTCTGGATGCTTGTTCTGAGTTGTTTGTGTATCAAACCCGTTTCAGAAAGTGCAAGATACTATTTCAAGGTTAAGGACCTTCGTGGCCTTTATATTTAGCCTGCAATAGATATCTGTATAGTATATTTTTTAAACAGAAAAACCATATCTTTTGACTATACACTTATCTAATAAAACCTTTTATTAGATGTTTCATATACCTGTGCTGTATATTACTAAAAGAATTAAAAAAAAACCGACTTCACAAAAAGGTAATTTAGGCGAAATTGATTCAAGAAACTTCCATTGAAGTCAAGGTTTTATGTACTGCCCGACTTTACAGAGTTCATTGAATCAGCTTTCACTTATATAATCTTCTTAATTGAGAAGAAAGATACAACAAAAATCTTTGTAGTTCTAAAGAGGTTTTTGAATTTTTTGGTCACTTTTCTTGTTATTAAGGGCCAGTTTTTTGATCCGTGGTTAACTCAACCATTTGTTAAAATCTTTGACAAATGGTTAAATATCAGAAAAATATGTTTTTTGATTAATAGTTGGCATAACCAATTGTCAGAATTCCAACCATTGGTCAAAAAATTTAACCATCACTGGAAGCTAGGTTAAGCAAATGACCAATGGTTAAAAGAACAGATGTACAACTGCGTTGTATTTACTTGGTCCTTTGTTATCGTTTTTTACGTTGTTTTTATAACCTACATGATTTCATAGTGAATTTGGATATTAGCTATTTTTGGGATTTCGTTTTATGATTTCGATTTCGTTTTCGTTTCATAGGAAAATATTCATTGTCATTTTTGGGTTAAAGAGTTATTGAAAATAAGTTATAATTTTTTCTTGATGTACTATATAATATAATTTTTCTCGTTTCCACGGGCATATGCCAAATTATTCAATTATTAAAAATCTTATAAAACAATCCACGAATAGACAATACAAAAGGTAAATATGCCTACAGTACATAAAATATATAGACCTCGATTTATTTTCCAACATTACAATTCCACCTTGGATACTAGATACTAAATAGAAATAGAAAACAAATATATGCTTTTTTTTAAAAAAAGTTCAGTTTAAAATAACTGGAAATAATATCTTTGATGCTTTCTAACATTATTAAAGAAATTGCCTTATATTTCCTGAAAAATAACACAAAGTGCACACAACAGAACAACCATAAACATCCATACTGTTTGATAATCTATAGATTTCTTTCGTCTATTTGATATTTGGATCAAAATCCTAATGTCAAAAATGGTATATAGTTCGCTCCGTTCATTCAAACCGTTAGTGTTGTCACCCAGAAAAAAAATACCCATCTCAATGTATAGCGAAAAAACGACTCATTGTGCTGGCAACAAATTGGCCAGTAGTTAAATTTGGCTATGGTTTAATTTGGCATCAAAAACGAAATAGCGAGTTAACAACTTGTTAATGTTTTAACTATAGTCAAGTTAACAAATGGTGACATGACATTTGACTACGGATCGAAAAACTGGCCCTAACTCTAACTTTTTATTTATACCTTTCAGAATACTATTTAATTTCAGCTTATATTTTTTAACTTGCATTCTGAAGTCAGCTTTTACATAAAAAAAGTAACAACTATTTCTCATATCTAAAATATTCGCTATAAATATTACATTTTAAAAACCATAACGCCCGTTGCAAATACTCCCTTTTAAAATTATCATTAGTTTAAAATGTCATTACCGATACAAAAATTTTAAATTTAGAACATTCATTAGAGCTTAAAGTCGCCATAAAACCATAATGAATGTTTGTCCAACTAGTTTGCAATTGCAACACTCGGCTGTTTTTTTATTCATAGTGAAGATTTTTTCAAACTGTAAGGCGTTGATTTTTGGCCTTTACAGCATAGTTTGCGAAACTTGTTACTTTTTTAATATTCTAATTTACCATTAATAAAAGCGTCCGTGTTTAAAACTTATTTATTTACACAGTACGACCACATTTAGGCCATTAACCTGTGCATTAAGTTACACGTGCATCAAATTTCAACTCGAACGGTTCCAGGGACATACAATTGTGACACACAGACAGACATCATCATCACCAGCCTTTTAATTTCTCCATTGCTGGGGCTCAGGTCTTCCCTATGGATGGAATCACGGAGCATGGAGAAGATCAAGATAATAAATTTGTGGTCACCCATCCTATGACCGGCTAACGCGAAAGTTGCCTAACAACAACATATACCATGGAGCTCCTCCTTTAATAACTTTCCTACAATCAATTGTGTTTATCTGTTTTATTTTAATAAGTACCTTCTAAGTTCGTAACAATATCAAATAGCATAACAATTTAATCCCTACAATATTACCCATGGTCGTTAATAAAACTTTACCAATTTACTGTATATCAAGTCATTCTATCCAGCTTATTTACAGTATAAACTCGTAAGCCATAAAACTAGAAAATGCGGATGCGTCATAAAATTCGTGACGTATATCCGAAGACTGCATTTAAGAACTATTCCGAGCGGAATCGGAGCCAATATTATGACGGTTTTAAAGGTAATAAGGCACGGTTATTGTGGAAACTTATTTAACTTTTTGAAATAATGCCCAATCTTATATGTGATTTGGCATTTATTTTCGCGAAATGCGATTTATTGGAGGAACTGTATGATATTGTGGTTAGTATAGAGAATTTCGTGTTTTGTACACGATGAATTCAGGCTCGTCTACATTTACAAAAACTAATACGTATCAGCTCGGTGGCGTTGTGGATAAGCGCCGTGGCTGAGACTTTCGTAATGGTCTCTTACGGGATGGATTATCAAAATATTATTATCTCAAGTTACTCCGTGGTTCGGAAGACTCGTTAACCCTCCAATCTGCGTTGGGCCAGTATGGAGGTTCACGGTCCATCCTCCTTAATCATCGAAGGGTAGATACGTAAAAGGGCTGATGATGAATAATAATATATTTATTTCTGCATAAATATGGAAATATGTTACAATTTATTTTCTAGTTAACAGACATGTTTACCAGAAACTGGCATGCAGAAGAAATTATAATAATTAAGGAATTACAATTATAATCATGATATTAATCAAATTTCAATTAAATCAATTCAATTTCTTCAACATAAAGGTAAGATTTAAAAAATGTCATATATACAACACAATAATAAAGGTATTAATAATTCATAATTTTGAGATATTATGTCAACATTTATATTCAAAATATTCCTTTAAGCTATAAAAACATTTCTCCGTAAGCCATTCTTTTAACTCAGACTCGAATATACTAAGCCTGTCGTTTTTAGATTTTATTGGCAGCTTATTAAAAATTTTAATTGGCATATGATAAGTACTTTTTTCCACATTTC